CTTTAAACAGATCCATTAAATTAGTATTGTTTTGTACAGATGAGGAAAAATTGATTGTATTCTGAAACATTTTGAATAATCATTTCTCCTGTCTGACAAAACTTCCATTAAAATGTCATTTTGCTGAACAAAATACAAAGGAAGGAGCAGATGTTTATTTGTTTGAAAGATTAATTTTATACAAACAAAATTTAGCCCAAAAGCAAATATCTGAACTGATGACAAAGTAAATTTTGAAGGCAAGATCTAAGTGAAATATTAGCAGTATTTGATGCATCTCCATGCAGCTCTGTAGCTAACAGTTCATATAACACTTTTCTCTCCCCTATGCAAATCTTACTAGCCCCAGACACCAGCCATCCATCTTGGAGTGATAGAAGACAACCGCCGCCAACCTCTTCTTCACAGAATAATATATGCAGATCTATTACCTTTCCTTCTTACAGTTATGACAACTAACAGACTTGAACACACTAACAGACTTACACACACACATACTTTTGTTTCCAAGTTTCTCTTTAGAAAAGTGGCCAGTCTAGTAATTTTCCTAGCTCTTCTCACATTGGAGTTTTCCTGTAATTGTTGCATTTATATAGCATGTTAGCCCTATGCCCTGGTAGGGCTCTGGTTTCTATGTAATGAAATAAAAACAAATAGAAATACAACAACGTTGTTACAAACATCCTATTAACTTTTAAACAAATCAAAATAAATGATGTAAGTATTCATACCAACTCTTATCATATTTCAGTGCCATAAAAATCATCATCTATGACGTTCCCTTAGTAAGGTGATCTAGTTAACCAGACCTCTTCATTCATCCCTTCTATTTTTCCCTTCTGTGGAAAAGCTTACCTGAAGTGTATTTTACTCTTTGCTCTGTAAAAGCAAAGGAAGGATCTGTGACCAAAAGAGTTGTCAAGGCAATTCTCCACTGTGACACTTTGGCTACGTCTAGGCTGGCATGATTTTCCGCAAATGCTTTTAACGGAAAAGCTTTTCCGTTAAAAGCATTTGCGGAAAATCATGCCAGCCTAGACGTAGCCAAAGTGTCTTTGTACAGCTACAGCCCTGACACAGAAACTCTGATCCAGCGGCCTGTCAACAATTTTCCAGTCACACTCTGGCTTCCACCAGCTTTGGCCACTGATTGCTAGGTGGCCCTAACACAATCCCAAACCCACATTTTCATGAGTTCTGCAATGTCCAATCCTTTCCTGTGCAGTTCAGATATTGACCTGTAACTTTAAACAAGTTACTAAACAGTCCAGTTTAAACCCAGCAATGGATTATTTTATATTAAACATAAGACAAGTTTATTTAACTACACAGGAAGAGAGATTTTAAGTGCATACAATTATAAAGTATTGAGGTCAGAAATGATTACAAACACAATGAAAAATAATTTTATGCAGGATCTACTCTAGAATTCCTGCAACAACGTGGCTCTCTTTTCAGATTCCCTCTTTCTCATTACTATGGATAAGATGTTCAAAAGGAGATATAAACATAGAAATAAAGATAAAACATTTTCTAGTAGCTAAACTTACAAGCTAGATTTGTTTTAACATGAATTCTTTACCACATGTTCCCAGCAATATTGCTGACCAAATTCTCAGGTCAGGGTCACACCCAGATCCATGGGTTGAGTCCTTTGTCTTTTTAAGTGAAAAAGAGAGAGGACGGAGGATGGGGTGCTTTGGGGCCTCACTTTGTAGTCCAGTCAACCTTTGAAGTGGATTCTTCTGAGTATTACCTCTCAAAACAACGTTTATTCAAACAATAAAGAAGGTGATGTGGAATCTGGTGGGAAGCTCCATGCTTTTTCTTCTCCCCGTGTTTGCTGAAAAATGGCTTTGCATTGTGTACTGTCAATTTCCCCCTCGTGCTGTCTTGAGCCCCCCATTTACAACTTACATATTAATTGAGATAAACGTACATTATTTTGGCTAGGAAAGACCTGTTTAACCAGGACTTGTGGATCTGAACAAGCGCTTACAACATCATGAAGGAGGAATTCATAATTTTACATATAATGCATACAGATATATGTCAGTTTAATATTATTGATGAACAAGTTACTAGTTTTCAGATAGTATCAGAGGGGTAACCGTGTTAGTCTGGATCTGCAAAAGCGACAAAGAGTCCTGTGGCACCTTATACACTAACAGATGTCAGATCTGACAAAGTGGGTCTTTGCCCACGAAAGCTTCTGCTCCAACACATCTGTTAGTCTATGAGGTGCCACAGGACTCCTTGTCATTTCATCATTTGTGTTGCTCTTTTCTGGACCTTCTCCAGTTTCTCCACATCTTTCTTGAAATGTGGGGCCCAGAACTGGACACAATCCTCCAAGGCTGTGTCTAGACTGGCAAGTTTTTCTGCAAAATCATCTGCTTTTGCGGAAAAACTTGCCAGCTGTCTACACTGGCCGCTTGAATTTCCACAAGAACACTGACGATCTCATGGAAGATCATCAGTGTTCTTGCGGAAATACTGTGCTGCTCCCGTTTGGGCAAAAGTCCTCTTGCGCAAATCATTTGCGCAAGTCGGCCAGTGTAAACAGCACAGTCCTGTTTTGTGCAAAAAAGCCCCTCCCCCCCATTTCATGACCTGACCAGGTGGCCTTGTAAGTCCAGCCTGTGTGGGAATCCGACGTGGGTAATACCAGTCCATGAGTCTCTAAGGCCGGAGGAGAACATAGCATGGGCCGTTCTGCTATTAATTGCTGACAATGAATTTCATTCTAGAGCATAAGAACATAAGAACGGCCGTACTGGGTCAGACCAAAGGTCCATCCAATCCAGCACCCTGTCTGCCGACAGTGGCCAATGCCAGGCGCCCCAGAAGGAGCGAATTGAACAGGTGATAATCAAGCTATCTCCACCCTCTGACAAAGACCAGGGACACCGTTCCTTACCCGTACTGGCTAATAGCCATTTATGGACTTAACTCCCATGAATTTATCTAGTTCTCTTTTAAACCCTGTTATAGTCCTAGCCTTCACAACCTCCTCCAGCAAGGAGTTCCACAGATTGATTGCGGGAGGAGAGAGCCAGGCAATCATATGCAAGCAACGTCGCCTTTCCAGGAAGTCCCTAAAATAATGCATCTCTTTACAGAATCCTAGCAGGTTTGCTCCTTAGCGACTCTTTCTGGCAGTTTTTAGGCCCTGTCTCCGGCAGGCACTTTCCTCTGCTAGTTTGGGCCAAGACCAAAAGCTCGTCCAGACTTTGCAGCCCAGCGTAACTAAAAGTAAAAGACAGGCTGCTGCCACCTTTGGGCTTCTTTTATAACTGGGTCTGCTTAGAAAACTTGTTTGCTGCATCAGGGAGTTCCAGTGGTTTTCTTAGAAGAAACTTTCACTGTAAGAGCTGGAAACAACATGGTTTTGAACCTCTCTGGGTACAAGGATTGTCCTGGATCTGAATGAAAGGCAAGCTGGTCCCCCGGCAACCAGAGCTGGTCCCCCGGCAACCAGAACTGGTCCCCCGGCAACCAGAGCTGGTCCCCCGGCAACCAGAGGGAGCGAGCCGATCCTAACTCCTCCTTCGGCTAGTGCAGAACTGAGATGGCAACATCGCTCCCTGGATAGCTCCCCCACCAACAGGAGGTGAACGAACTTCACGGGGTGGTGGGACTCAATTCACCATGTGGACTAAACAGAGTCACTGCTGATCTGGCTGGAAACAGAAAACATGGTGAGCGCTACTAGAGAGCTCACGGGCATGGAAAGGAACGCTACCCAGTTGTACATTGCAGTGCGTACAGATGTGGTCTCCTCATCTCAGAAAAGATCTCTTGGCATTGGAAA